AGAGGGTAATCATGTCCAGGCAATGTTTTTCTCTCGCAAAACTTCCTATAAGAGGCACATTAAACCGAACGGAACACCACCAGGGTAACTTTTCATAATCGTATTTGTCCGCAGCATGAACAATGGTCATATGAGGGGAATCCTTCACACCCCATGAAAAAGGCTGCCAAAAACGTTCCACTTCTCGCGGTTCCCAGCCCTCATCATCTTCATGTCCCAAAGGACGTACCGAAGCAACACGCTCACGCGGAGGAACAATTGTCGAAAATGGCGCACCGGCCAAAGGCGTGCGCCCCTCCATCAATACAGAATCATGTTGACTGCAAAGCCCATCCACTTGATGAAAAAACTGAGGGTGTGCAAAATGCTGAAGTGGTATTAAAGTAACAATAACCTGATTTGAAGGATGTTGAAACGTGTACGCAATGGAGGCCACCGAGTTTTCCCTCACCATAATAAAGTCGGTTATTCTTTTCGAACGAAACGGGAAGGCGTATTGCCACCTTGGTCGGTAAGAAAATATTCGCGTGGCCTCCCTTCTCACACAGGAATGCACACTCCTAAAATGGGGTACTCCAGGCGAGGCGCAAACCGCGTTTCCCCAACCAACCAAACGCATGCGTGAACCAGGCAATCAATTTCACAAAGTGTCAAGGGAAAACAAAAAAAATACCTCCTCCTCCCCTCACTCATGCGGTGAAATGAGGCGTTGGTTCTCACTGCAGGATCGTGTGCCAAAAAAAAAAAAAAAAGATTTTATAAAAAAGAAAAAAACAACAACTTTAAGAGACAATTTCACAAAACCTGAGAGTGATTAAGTCAATTTTTCAAACCCAGCGGTACTCCTACCCTCCCCATTTGCTCTCCATCGGCGGAAAAAATTCAATGTTCTTTCTTCCCCTGCTTTGCCTCCCACTCTTGTTTCTTCCCGCCCCAGCTTCCACTTGTGTGTGCGTGTCTGCCGTGCTTATGGCACTTCATCAAAAGCACGCATGGATTGCTTCTGAACTGAAGAAGAAGAAGAAAAAGGCGTTAAAGGAAAAATTGCCGCATACCGTAACGCAAGACATTGTTTTTGTTTCTTTCAAACTACAGCCAGTGCTCTTCCCTGTCGGAGCTCGGTGGGTGCGTGAAATCGCTGAGGGTGTGAAGTTGAATCAGGCCCTTTTCAAATCCCAGCACTATCGCACGATTGTCCGCTTTTCCCTCCGGTGGAATGTCAAAGCAAGTGCAGGACCCCGTTTCAGGATTTAAAAGCGTCTGCGAAAGAACCGGGAACTCCTTTTCTTTCTTCGCCAAATCTAGAAGAAACAGCGTCCCACTGGCGTCCAGCAACCACAAGAGCCATTTATCGCATCCACTGAAACGCATCTCCTTGACGCTGTGGTTGCTCAACGGAATAGAAAGCTGAGGTGCGGCATCGGTGTGAAGATAAAGACGCAAAGTACCATCATCATATCCCACCACAAAAATTCGGCTGTCTACAGTGCCATAACGCACGCAAGAAGGTACGGCTACCGGACGTGCAAAAAAAAGCGAACAAGGACCATAAAGAGAAGGTGCCGCTATGCTACCAAAACGACTTATATGCCGAACACCCTCTGAACAAGCCACAACATAATGTGAGGGATCGGTAGGAACGAAGTCCAGAGCAAAAGATTCTTGATTCATTGACAAGGCGTTGACGCGACTTTCGCATTTTGAGGTTGCTAAAAATAAACGTACTGTGGAGAACATATTCAACCCGTTTTCCGTATCACTAATTGCTCCCTTTGATTGGTCCTTTTCATTAACGACCCAAAAGTACGTTTCTCCAGTAGCATCAAGGGACACCAGCTGTTCATTTTCGTCCTTACGAACACCTACAACAGTATTATAACCTGCCACGGCAATAGCAACAATGGGCGCCATATGATTTCCCGTTTGCCACGATGTGGCAAAAGAGGGAAGCCGAAATGCGTTTCGCTGGAAGCAGCCAGCCGTAAAATGGTTTCGCTCTGGTTCGCGTGTGTCCCAGACGTAAAGTGAACCGTCCTCAGCCCCAGCGTAAACCAAGTAGGGCCACCGTGGACTCATACAAATGGAAGTCAGCAGAGATGGGCTAACAAGTATCTTCTCTGGTGAGAAGGAGTCGTACACATTCCAAATTACTATAACCGACAAGTAGCGGTCCAACTCCATAGACGGGCCTTCTCCCCCCACTGCACCATGAAGAACCGCCAAATATGCCGGTGCACAGGGATTAAAAAGAACTTTCAAAACAGGTCGATTGCATGTGGCAACGCAAGAAAATGTCGTATAAGATGTCGAAAATTGCGTTTCACTCTTTGACTCAAGAGCTTCTGGACCAGCCCTTTCTTCGTCATTCTCGTCTAAAATGGCCCGCATAACAGGGAAGACACGCCCAAGAAAGGACGCCAACAAATTACTGTCAATTACTCGACTGCTGGAAACGTTACTCAACGAAGGCTCGCCCATAACTTCATTGTTTTCCAAGGCCTCTCCGACGTTATCCTGACCCAAATCCCTAACCAATTGCATCGGTCGGTCCGCAGAGTTTTCAGGGCAAAGCCCCAAGTCACGCGGCACCTCGACAGCTCGATGCCGTACACGCACTCGTTCCGCTTGTACTTCAAAATCGATACGATCCTCTTCCGCCGGAGCCTGTACCCCGGTCTGCTTACGACCCATGTCCCCAAAATTACGAATATACATGTCGTATTGCGACTGCGGAGGAACGTCAACGAGGGCCGCCGAAACATCATCCATATCTACTAGACGTCGCAACGCCGTCGCACGTTGTAAGTCCTTCTCAAACTGTGCTCGATACCCTTGACGTTGCAGTTCAGAGACACCAATTGTACTCTTACCCACCACTGTTCCCGATATGTCAGACATCTGAGACCGCCGCAGTTTTTTTTCCTCTCGCTCTTTACGGCGCTTTTCTCGGCGTTCAATCGCCTCCGACTCTCGCTCCTCCTCAGCACGTCGACGTTCTTCACGTCGAGCAGCTTCCCTCGCCTCATCGACGGCGTGACGTATCGCACGGTTCTCCACCTCCATTGCAGCAGACAGTTCATCCTTTTTCCATCCAGGTATTACCCCAGAAGTTTTGGCCTCGTTGCTCTCCAGGTGCCACGTTGGTATCTCATCATCTACCACAGCGTCATCATGAACAAATGATTTTCTAATCACGTCCTCATTATCACTATTTTCTTGCTGCTCTTGTCGCTCTTTGGCTCTTTCCCTCTCTTTGCGCTCCGCGCGTTCTCGTTCCTTGCGTGCATGTCTCTCTTCCTCTGTTTCATCGCGCTTGTGCATTCTCTCTCTATTTCCTCCCTCCGCAGCACCTGCACGTCTCTCTCTTTCTCTTTCCCTCTCCTTTCGCTCCGCGCGTTCTCGTTCCTTGCGTGCATGTCTCTCTTCCTCTGTTTCATCGCGCTTGTGTTTCCGCTCCCTCTTGTCGCCATCCGCAACTTGTGCCAGCTTCTCCGCCTCACTCTGTTCCCTTAGCTTCCGCTCGGCACGTTCCCGATCTTTGCGAGCGCGTCGCTCTTCCTCGGTTTCATCCCTCTTCGACTTTTTAACGGCACCGTCACCCATCTCTATAATGAACAAGCACACTGAAACCCTAAAAAGAGCAAAAAAAACAACGACAATGAAATGTAAATAAAACACCTAAATCACAATGTTCACTGGGAGGGATCCATTCACAGCCAAATGCCTCCACTACGTCATTACAGTGGCATTTAACTTGTGCGGCTGTCATCGCAAAATTATGTCCCACAAGACGGAAAATATCCAAAAATCTAAATAAAATTCCCTGAAATAATAATAATAATAACAATAAAAAAAAAGAACCTTTCCCCACGCATACACACAGATACACATATAAACGCCACCAAAGAGAATCCAAAAGCATCATGCAGATTATAGGGCAGAGTATGAGTCGTCGCCACAAAAAGATGTGCACAAAACCTTGCCGCACAATGAGCAAAAAGTACTTCGGTATAGGCGGGGAAATCCTGCGAGCCATTTGCGACAAATACTCCTCCAAAGCAACCGCATCAGGCTGTGGTAACTTTAAAAGCAAAAAGACTACAGTCGTTCCATTTGTTGTTTTTGTTTTTGTTCCTCCTCGGATCGGTGGCTGCTATAGGAGAGGCCTGGTGATCTCGTGAGGCCACCCTGAACAAATTCAATCCACATGAGGCACAGAAATGCGACAGGGAGTAAAAAGAGCACGAGGCGGCAATAATCGACACCGACAAGAAATCGGCATTTTTTCGCTTCCAGTATTCAAAGAATTCATTTGCGCTCTCTGTACGGAAAATAGAAGGGCAGACCAGTGAGCCCGACGGCGTTCCCTCGTCCAATACCGTCTCGTCTCCTATTGCTGCCACGCACCATAACAAAAAGACGAGAATCAAGCAGGCATCGTTCATAAGTACGTCCTCCATCCCCTCCCTCAGAAACAACAACAAAAAAAAAAAAAAAAAAAGTGCCGCAAAAGAAGCAGTAAAAGGGATGAAAATTGCGGCACCACAACCTCGAAGTGTGTGGCCCCTCTCTTTTGGCAGACTGAGAGTAACCACAGTGACGACGGCAAAGCCACAAGGAGCACATGTAAATCAATACAGAACACCGAATGAGCAAATTGGGTCCCGAAAAACCCTCACCAAAAAATCAAATAAGAAATAAAAGACAAAAAAAAAAACCACCATATCTCATGGAGACGTACACAAGGACAAAAAAAAAAAAAACGGTCGATGTTTCCCAACTTTTTTCTTGTGCTATTTCCCCACCTCAAATAACGCAACAACACATATACATTGTTGCGTGCACATATACAGCAACAGTGCGTCTTCCTCGTAAAGATTTTAGGCAGAATAAATGATGACTGTCAACAAAACATTGGGAAGGGGGAAGGGGGAAGGGGGAAGGGGAGAAAAGTAAAGGGTCTGCCCTGTGGAGGAGAACGACTCGCTCTCGCGTGTACACAAAGAAAAAAACCGAAGGACAAACTTTGGGCCTCCTCCCAAACCTTGAAAAACAAGTGCCCCTGCAACACCACGCACCTATAATGAGATTTTCATGCCCCGCAGTGTTTCCCTCCTACACATCTCTCCTCAAAATAAAATAATAATAACAAAAACAATTCTACACGGGACAACAACAACCAAAAAAAAAAAAAAAAAAAAAAAAGAAACAGGGGG